GAACCAGTATTGAAAGGACACTGATTTTGGAAGCGTCCTCTTTCAGATGAGTTAAAACGAAGATCTTGATGGCTTCCAGTCCTTAAAGATTTTAGAAAACTTTTTCATGAAAAGATTTATCAAAGCATTTGTCCTGGGCAAATATTAACTTAATAACACTCGCTGAAAAATTTTTAACTTCACAAATATTCCCACTGGTTTCCGTGGAACTGCGTGTGGAGTAAATTCACTTATGCAGCAGTAAGGATGAGCAACTTGAATTGTGGGTCCCTCAGATTCTCTTTGCAGTTTCATTTAGATGAAGTACAGCAGGTCCTTGGGATATATTGGGGTTGTGTTCTTGAAAAGGGCAATGGATACCAAAAGGCCATATACCAGGGGCCTAAGTACAACAGTGGCATAAGCAGGAGGCGTCACTTGGGAGGGCTCTGGGTGGGTGGGAAATGACCAGAGGGCAGAGGGGTAGAAGTGATGTGGCTGCCTCTCCCCGCTTCCAGCCAGCAGTGCATGGATAGATGCTCTGAACAGGAGCTCCCATAAAAAAGTGCACCCCACATCACTACCCATTCTGCCCTGTGCTTGCAGCTTGCCCCACTCTGCCCACCCAACGTTCCTGCCAGAGAGTGGGGATCAGGGTCTTGGAAGTTCCCATGCCCCAGTAGCACTCACCAGCAGGAGGGCCAGGCAAGCAGAGCAGGGCAAGCTTTTGTCCCCACTCTGCATGTGGAGCACCAGAGCTAGGCAAGCCCCCACACCCCGACTCCACACCCCAGCAGGAGTGTCTAGAGGGCAGTGTGGGACAAACGCTGGGGTGGACATAGAGCTGGGACTGCAGGAATGGGCCAGGATGTTAAGTGGGTGGGTTGTGTCTTATTTATATCTGTCGCTCGTCAGTAAGGGAACGTGTTCTGATTCACGTCAGTCCAGAGCCTCACATCCCTCGTTTGAAACTGTCAAAACAGTAGTGCAGATGCCGGGTATGCATGTCGGGATCAATGTGAATCAGAACACGTTCCCTTATTGATGAGTGGTGGATGTGCAAAAGAACAGATGAGACTTATACCAGGGACCAGTGTTCACTGTAAGCTGTGCCTTGTGCAGCCACTCAGGAGTGAGTCAGACACTACACAGCTGATTAGCAGAGTGCCCACAGCTAGGTTTTTTGTTTCTACTGATGGTGCACATTCACAATGCACATAAAAAATGTATTCTGCACTTGGATGGAAAAAAATCCGCACATGGATGGAAAAGATTAGAGGGAACATTGCCAGAGACCCTTCACTTCCTGCCCTGAATTGCTGGGAAATATTGCTATACTAGCAGGTGAGGCCTGTCATTGATCAGGCAAAATCATTTTGCATAGATTACACTTATAGGAAAGTTCAAGAAATTAAATATATGCAATAGAATTTTGTATTAATGTGCTTGCAAAAGGGAAGTAACAGAGCAGTTTTAAATTTGTAGGATTTCAACTTTAAACATTATTCATTTTACTGAATAATTACCATACATGGTAAATTTGAATGAGAAACTCATCAATCTTCCATTACTCTTTCTGTAACTAATTTGAATTATTTTGTGATTCGTAACAGCAAATATTGTCTTTGCACTAAAATGTCAGTTGAATAGTCAAATCAATTTTAATTTTGTTAGCAAATATTTTTATGAACTGTAATCATAATAGCCATGACATTTTTCCAACAAAAACCAAAAAATATTTAAACCTTTCACCCATCATATTCCAGTATAAAAAGTAGTGCATTCAGCTACTTTAAGTGGCAGGATTATTAAAATTTGGTATCTGTAATGAATTGTGACGTATGATTTTATTTTGGACAAACAAATCCACAAACTGTTCAAAATATATAATAGGTGTGCTGTTTCTGTTTTGCACCCCCTGGTGAATGAGCTAATCCTTGTGTATTGTTTGAAGGGTGCTAGGAAAATGTAAGTTACTGTTACTAACAATCTCTTCCTGTCAAGATATGATATGAAATGTTCTCTTGCCAAAGATAAAAACCATTAGGCCCTTTCAACTCTAGAACTTGTGGCTATATTTTAACCTATTTTCAAACCAACATTACCGCTGCAACGTGTGTGTGTGTGTAGCTCCTCACAGTTACAAAGCACAGTCGAGCCACTTTAAAGAAACTTGCTTGAGCTCTGCAGGTGGACGTAGGTTATGCACCTATGTCATTTCCAGCTCAAGCGGACCTACGTGCCCTAGCTCTGACTGAGCTGGCTGTACAGCTATGGCAGCTAGAAGGCCTAGCCACCCTGGCGGTGCATCCCAGAGCCGAGGCACAATAGAAGTAGGAGCAGCTAGTGTGTCCCAGTACTTGTGCCACCATAGCTGTCTTTCTAGTCGTTGTGCATTAATTTGATTAGAGCCACTATGAGTATGTTTGCTGGAACTGGAAATTGCACCCTCAGTACCCCAGGCTAGACATACCCACTGTCTGTCCAGATTGGAGCACCAAAGCCTGCTAGCTGGCATAGCTGTGCTTCCGAACAATTTTCCAATAAGGTGGGGTGATGCCTGTGCTTTGTGTTCCAGCATAGACGTGGTCCTAGCATATTTCTCATTCTCCCTCCCCACCCCCGAAATCTCCTTCACTGCCTGAGTAAGTCAGGGAAAATGGATGCTGGTGCTTGGAAGCCACTGTTTTGCAATCAGTGTGAAAACATGATACTCGTGCCTTTCCTGCATCAGAAATTGTTATTATTTGGGTAATTGTTTAAAGTAACCAGCTGCTCCACACATGAGTGATCTGCCCAAACTAAAGTTCCTTTAGTTGAGGCTACGTCTAGACTGCGAGCCTCTTTCAAAAGAGGCTTTTTTGAAAGATATTTTCGAAAAAGCCTCTTTCGAAAAAGAGCCTCTAGACTACAACCAGTACTTTTGAAAAAGCGAGCCGCTTTTTCAAAAGAGAGCACCTAGGCAGTCTGGATGCTCTCTTTCGAAAAAGCACAGTTTGCATTACATAGCGCCTTTTTTCAAAAGAGCACTTTTGAAAAAAGGCATTCTTCCTCGTGAAACAAGGTTTTCCACAGTCGAAAAAACTGCCACATTCTATCAATTTATTTTCAAAAGAACGCAGCAGCAGTCTAGACGCCGGGGAAGTTTTTTCGAAAAAAGACCACTTTTTTTGAAAAAACACACCCTGAAAGAGCCAGCTTTTGATACTCTGACATGGGCTGAATAGCACTTTACTCCATGAAAAGTCCCACTGATGTCAATGAGACAATTTGGAGAATGAAGTATGCCCAACATCAGTGAGGAGCTCAGAATCTGAGACTCAGTCATCACAAAATGTATTAGTCAGTTCCCTATTGCTAATCCTTTTTTGCTTCTGGTAATATCTGTTTGAATTTACTTTTTAAATCTCACACTTTTCCAGCTGTGCTTTAAATGTGAGCTAACTGGATGTACTGAAGTAGATTTTGTGTGGCTAAGCCTGTCTGAATCTCCTGAAGTATCCATTTTTCCTTCTGACCTATTCCACATCATATCCGTCATATTCCTTCTTCAGGTCAACTAGATCCTTCCTTCATCTCTAATCCCACCCCCCAAAATCCAACTCTCATCTCCTTCCCTCCAACTATCCCTTTTCTTCTCTTTCCTTCTCTATTGCAATACACAATACATAACTCCATCTTGCTTCTCTTTCCATTCCCTTTGTTGATCCTCTTGGGTCTCTATATCTGTTCAGTTGAGTCTGAAGCAACAAGAAAGAAAATACATCTGATTTGGCAGCTGTTTTGTTCCAGTTATAGCAATGTAGGGCTTCCCTAGCTTAGAGGTGACCCAGGTTTTATTGACCAACCCTTAGAAAGCCCTGGAATTCATGAGATTTGAAGACTGCAAACAGCCCAGGAAAATATGCTAGGCTGCTGAGGCCTCAACATGCATTTTCACAAAGACAAAAGGCCAGGTGGGCAAAAGGGCCTCCGCAGGCCGGATCCGGCCCACCAAGCAGGTAGATCAGACCCGTGGAGGCCCTGCCGCTCCCCTGCCCCCAGGCCAATTAGGGCCTGTGGGGGTAGGGGGAAGAGTTCAAAGTTTCCTCCAGCCTGCCAGGAGCATGCAGTGCTTTGAAGCGCTGCGCAGTCCTGGCAGGGTGGCTGGAGACTTCGTGCGCTCCCCCACCCCCAAGCCCTGATTGGTCTAAGGGTGGGGGAGCGCGTGCAGTTTCCTCCACCCCACCCCCACCCTGTGAGGAGCGTGCGGCGCTTCTAAGTGCTGCGTGCTCCTGGCAGGGCAGGAGGAGGCTTCACACACTCCCCTGCCCCCATGCCAATCAGAGCCTGGGGGTGGGAGGAGTGCAAACATTTTCCTACGCCCCGCCATGCA